GGAGGACATCGCTAGTAGATTGGAGGCCATCGCTAGTAGATTGGAGGCAGGTTGCAGGCCATTCCCCACTGCAAATGAACCGATTTTGGTGAGTCGAGGCTGTACGGCCTTGGACATCACCAAAGCTGATCCTCCGGCCTGTGTCGATCGGCTGCTACCCTTCCTGGAGATGGACACGGCATCATGGCAGGGGTTTTATGTATTTTCCGGGTTGGAGGGCATCGCACTTAGGTTGGAGGCGCTACTAGGAGCAGTAGAGGTTGAGCTGTGCGGGATCAAGAGCAGGGCAGGGAAGCAGGGAGAGAAGTAGACAAGGTAGTACATATGTGTTGTAATATGATTGACGATATTTGGGCTGTCCCCGGTACAGCCTTGGTTGACATGGAAGGAGGATGAAGGAGGTAGATGTTGACAGCTGATCAAAAGTCAATCATCTCAGCCTAAGAATGCTTCGTAGGTAGTTGGCCGTACGTCTAGCGCCCTCAAGCCTATGTCTTGGGACCTTCTTTCCAATTGGACAACATTTATGTTAATTTATGGACTATGCAAGTGCAGATCACAAGAAAGCTTCTCCAATGAATTTTTGCATTTTACTTGTTTTTCGTCAGTGGGACTTCCCAAAGACGAGAAGGGTGAGATAAATCAAGTTACACTTGGATGCCAAAGTATTGCTGACAGGCCATTCCCACGAAGGAATCAAGGACAGGTGACAAGTCGCCCATGGTAGATTCTACTTCCATCCGCCAGACCTTTCAGCGCGCGTTCCATGTGCGGAACTGACTCAACAGCGTGATTTGTTGGCTTGCTTTCAGGTGTGCTTTCAAGGAGAGCAAGACTTGCTGGCAGATCGACAACGGCAAGAATGGGGACCTTTGCGAGAATGGTTTGAATCTGAGTTTCTGGGCTGAGAAAAGACGGCAGCGAAACAGAGTGTTTCGCCCCCAGATCGGATGTATTCTTATTCCTTCCCATATCAGTCATGGGCTTCCCCATTCAATAAGGACAAAACGTTTAACGTTATGTTCCAGGAAGCTAAGGGGAGTCAGTATTGTACTATATTATATTGGACTTCTGTGTTTGAAGTTTGGCTGTTTTTTTGACGTTGTTTTCTCATCTTCATGTTATTTTCAATGTCTCATGCCCTGTGGGCCGGGCCCCTTCTGGGGCCAGGGATTTGGGGAGTAAGAAAGGCACGCCAGCAACAACTGAATGGACCACAAACCCTATGGATCTACATACCCTTTGAGAGGGTTATTGGAGGACAAACCAGGACTGGAGTGGTTTTCCCATTTCACCACGAACAGGTGGACATGGGTTTTGCCAGAGAAAGGGGTCGGAAGTCACAATGACTCCAGGTATAATGTGAAGCTTGGAGTAGCCACTGGGCTGGCGTCTCCCAATCACCCAGAGGCGCAGCGCGAGCTCTCTTTGTGTGTTTGGTGCCCGTGGAAAGAACACATAAACCTGATGCCGGCCCTTCATGATCTTCAAGCAGACGCACAGACCATCACAGATCAAACAACCATGGAGAAGTGAGTTTGAGACGTGCATGTGTTGTCAGATTTATTTTAAGGTTAGGTTGCGGCATGTCATTGTACCACTTGTGTCAGGTGTAGTCACCTTTCATGCAGCAAAGGGCATAGCAGGTCCTGCAATTGACGCGCCTTGAAAGCATGCACAATTTAAGGGGTGCCCAAATGTGTATATGTGTTCCCTCGTTCCCTCTTGCGTTTGCCTTATAGAAGGTGAATCTGATGGAGAATCATCAGGTTTGCCAACCATCAGAGCAAATCTTGATAGAACAAGACTTCGGCGTCACTTGAAGTAGGGCGTTTTTGTGAGACGGCTTAGTGACGAGTCGTGCCCACCAGCACCACCTAAAAGGATGGTTCTTGGAAGGAAAAAATGCCCAGTCAGGGGTGTACAAACCCCTCTTTGGGGTGGTGCTGGCAATTGTTCTTGCGTCTCACCCAATACTCGTCTCCCTGTAGGAGACCATCCTTCGTGTCACCGAGCAGCTCTTGTCACGCGACATTTGGGAGCTTTGTGCTTTGGAAATCGCCACCCAGACGGTCACCCGGTGGAGATCGTTCCATCCGCCGGGCCGAAGAGTAGGGTTGAGGTACCATGGGTAGGAACTGAGAGCGTTCGGTCCAACATCCGTGGTCGCCACAGTTTTCGTTCGCTTGATGCCCTGTTCCGCCACGGGCCTTTTTTTTTTGCACTAATGTTCCGCTTCTTTTGTTTCCACCCAACTTTAGAAGATACTCCCCATATGGGTTTCTTCATGTTTCTTCTACTGTACTTGTATCGTCATGGGTTCCTGCGGCTGCTCCACGATTGATCGCGACATCGCCGGAGCAGCACACAGCTGCAGGACACAGACAGATACGTAAACATCGTGCGCACGAAGAAGGAAAGACCCTAGAAAACTCCAATCTTGGAATATCACGCTTCATTGAAAAACAGCATAAAGCAGCTGAAAACCACCTTGGCGCCTTTGAATAAGGGTGATGTCGTTGAAAGCCTCCAGTTTGGGCCTTTTTCTGGCACCCTTTCTAGGGAGTTGACTCCTTCGTGGCCTGTCCCATGTGGGGAGTGTGAGGCTTTCTGGGAGTCCAAGACTTAACATTGACAGGGTATGACATGGTCTTGAGTATGGAAGGATCCTTTCGAGTCTTTTCTGAGTCTGAGGAGTCCAGTTGAAAGGGATGTCTTTTCTCAGCTTCTTTGGTGCCAGAGATTCTTGGACTTCGGATGCGCTGGCGCGCCGGTCTGGGGGTCCTGGGTGCGATGAAGGCGAAATCCTTCATCGTGGCCAGCGCCTTGGTGGACCGCGAGACTTGCCTTGCAGAGGAGGCCATCCGAGCCTGGGAAGCACGGAGGCCGCTGAAAGAGGCTGGGGGAGGATGTGACTCGGGAATGAGCCGAGAGTCGCTCAAGCCCAACGCGGCTTTTCTACGACTGCAGCAAGGTATTAAATGCCTAGCTTTCGTCCCCCTTGGGACTCTTCAGGGCTTTGCAGCCGCAAATGCTGCGGTGTTCAATCACATGCCTAGGCATCGCGCATTCAATAACCTAGGCAAGTGCAAACTGGACATGATGTTTTTTTCATGTCCAGTTTGCACTTGCCTAGGTTCTTGAAAAAAAAACATGAAGATCTTACTTGAAGAGAATGCATACTTTTAAGATTTGTTACATTTGTTCTCCATGGCTTTGCAAGCTCTACATCTAGGATGGATAGATTGGTTGATGGCCCTGCCAGCTCTCAGGATTGGCACAGTTGGAGGAGGACTTCCAAGTCGAACGCTCGGCCCCCAGTCGGATGGCCGTATGGCCTTCAGTGGGTTCCTTTCAAGCCTCGCAGGTGGTTCCCGTTCACTTACAAGACCTACCCAGGAAAAGTGGGAAACCGAGGGAGCCAGTTGATACCACTCTAGCCTCTCAAGTGATGCTCCAAAGCACCCCCTGACCAGCAGCCCGGTGACCCCCATTTCTGCTGGGGCAATGGTAGAACCACCTCAATGTCCTTGCGATGCTGGTTCCACTGCTTCGTACCCCCTACGGACCCCAGGAAAAGTCAAAGAATGTTCAATCCAACCAACCTAAGAGCCGAAGCTTCTCCTAGATTGTGCCATTCAAATGCTCAAATCGAAGCTGCGTGGTTTTTTGGGCGGTGATGGTTTTCTCCCTCCCTCTTCAGCTTTCTGTGCTGGGCCATGACCTGATTCTTCAAGAGGTCGATGGGTGACAGGCACACCTGTTTGGAGCAAAAAAAGCTGCCAACACCCATGATGTTGTCAAAGTCTTATTATTTGGAGTGATCTATTGAGACCCTTGAGGGTGTTCTAGCAACATTCAGACATTTTTTGACTGTTCTGGACAATTTGATGAAGGCTTTCAGAACTTGGACCAAACAGAATCCCTTCATGGTCGACCCCGAAATGTTCCCGTTTGTGCCGTGTGACTCTGTTGGATCTTAATGGTCTACCATTATTGGAGTGCGAAGTGGTTAGATCCTTCACTTGGTGGTTGGGTCCCATCCGACCCAGCGTCTCGAGGATGGGGTATGGTAGAAGGCGACCACGATGTGACTGAGAGTGAGATGTTGAAGTGGCTCACGGCTTGTCGCTACTTCAGCAAACTGCATCGTGACCAAACCTCCACCTGAGCAGTCAACAAAGGGCGTAGGAGCGAAGCAGGAGTGGCAAGAGGGTGCCGCGGAGTCTTAGCTGCTTTTGCTTTGCAAGCTTTTACGAGGGCTAACATGGTGTTTTGGCTTATCCAATCCTTTGCAAAATATATATGATACTGTATATATAAAAAATAACTAAATATATATATATATATTGATACCAATGAAGAGTGTGAAGGGTGCTTCAAGTCCTTGAAGGATTGATGGAGGCTTCACCGCACATTCCGGCTGTTGCGAATGGGGCTGTATTCTTTGGCACCTGGCCTGGATCTTCAAAAGTACAGTTGAGCATGAGTTCACATGAGTGATGTCCGCACCCATTTTCTTCAATGGAAGGGCTTTGGGCGCCATTTCTTCCCAGCATGAAGAGATCATCACCCCTCACGGTTGACTGTTGATTCATCAACCCCCCCCGGTTATGGCCGGAGATGTAGAACCGAAGGGGCGGTTGAAGACAGGGGTCCAAGTCCGGGTCCCGTATTCGCCAGTAGTGTGGCTCTGAGACGCTTATCCGGCAGCGTCCGCGTGGACGTACTCGCCGCGGACTCTGCCGGATCGATCTGCCGGTTCCGCAGGATCAAGGATCGCTTTCTGTGGAAATGCTAAAGGGAAATACAGGGAAAGATGATGCTGATTATTATTTACCATATACAATCCAAGGGGATGTCCAATTGAAGTCGAAAGTCTGACTGCAGCTCGTAGCAGACAGTTGCAGTCAGCATTCCATATTTCAGCCGTGAAGCTGGAAAACAGGACAGAATTCCGCCTATACGCAACGCAATAGATCAATTCAATTGTTCTTTTTATATAAGTAATTATGCACCTTTTTCTATATACCCATATAACGATTTGTGGACCCTATTCTGACGCATGATGACGCATGTGGGCGTGTATGCGTTACACCGCTCCCTTTTTGTGTTAGCCTTTTGGCACAACTAGGCCTCGTCAAACCCACACATTACATTATAACCAATACATTCATAAGCAACTTGACGTTCCTGGTGAGTGCGTGGTCCTGCCATGTTGCCTTGATGACGGCTCAAACGAAGCAGCCGATGTTGCTCAGCTGCAAGCAACATCCCAACTTCCGAACTCATGTGAGCAGGAGACAGTCGTTTCGGTGAACAAGGTCCAGACCTAGGAACTCCAAAGGGGTTGACCTTGTTGATGGCCTTTTTGAGGTGATGGGGTGCTCCCTGAACCAGCTACTCCCCGGCTCCTCGCGTTCTCAGTTCTATGTTTGAGTGATCTACCTCATGACATGCTTTGCGTTGGTTGCGGGAAAGAACTGTGCAGATCATCACTGCACCTGACCATGTCAACATGCTGTGTAGTCTTCGGAGGCTTTCCCGTTCTTCCCAGTCAGGCCCGGTCCAAACCAAACACATGCCAAAGGGTTGTTGGATGTGTTGTACACCTGTATCAGGCAGGTGATTGGACTTCTTGTACCCGCTCTGTATACACCCCCCGCAGAAAGACCCGTTTTGGCAAGCCAAACTTGTTATGAACTATAAAGCTATACGCAAAAGATAAAAAACACACACAGATATAGATATATATATACATATGCCACTAGGATTTTCAGTCTTGATGCTCTTGGCCTCCCTTGTCGTCCGCGCTCTCTTGACGAGTCGACAACGACTCAGGCGCCGTTGGTCCTCCCTGGCACTGCTCGCGCTGATCGCTGCGTCGGCCTTGCTCCTCCAGGGCGACGTCTTTTCCGTGCCACGCCTCGCACGGCTCAAGGGCAGCAGCTCTGCGGAGGAGGTTGCAGAGGTCTTGAGCCTTGGGCAGGCATCAGCAGGACTTCAGTGAATAACCTTTAATGTAGACTCTTGGTTAGTTAACCATTAAACCCCCCCCGGCTTGGAGAGGATGTCCATTTCACATGAGGGGGTTTATTAAGCAAGAGTGGGGGGTCGTTTTGGCAGGCAAATTGAAGGAGTCAGAGCGAGGACTTGGCCCAAAAAGGATTGCCAGGTCATGACAGGTCCGGGAGATGGAGATATATGGAGATAGACTACCATTCTTTCCGGGGAACAATTCGGAAGAACCCAAATCCAAACGAGTGGGGCCCAGTTGGGCGAGGATGCATGTTCGTCCTCGTGGCTGGTAGGCCTTGAGGACGTGTTTGGTGGTGACTTGTGGTTACTTGTATCATGGCAGATGGAGGAGGTCGACTAGGAGATGAGACCTGATGAGGCAGAGTGACTTGAAGCCATGCAGCGACGGCAGAGGTGACGAACGAAGCCATTCCAGTACACAGACCCTCCGAAAGCATTAGGACCTTCGAAGACCCGAACTGATGAGGTCACTTCGGCCGAGCCTAGTCACGGCAGAGGTTTAGAGGCACCGTCCTGGTGCAGCATCATTGACTGTACTCACATCGGAGTGCCCAATTCGGCGGCCGCTGCGTGGGGTTCTTCTCCTGGCCCTCCTGGCTCCTAGGATTCGTGATGGCGTGGTGCTGCTGGAAAGAAATGATGCGGAGACAGTGAGGGCTGCATTTAAGGACCTTGCTGCTGTGGTGTTTCCAGACCCTGAACCGGGCAACAGAAGTCACTGGTTCACAGAGGAGTTTCCGACTGTGATCCCACCAGCTCCAAGAGAGGCTGAGATGAACTTCCCGCCCAGTCAGTGGAATATATTTTTGGGAAAAATTGGTTCCCCCACTAAGACAAGAACAGGTGGAAAGTTTGGTTAACCTTTACATATTTAATTTCAGGGATACTGCAGAGTCAGTTGATACCATGCCTTGGCTCTAAAGTGATGCTCCAAACACCCCACACCCCCTCTACTCTCATCTACTCATCTACGGTCAGAAGACCCCTGCTGACTGGCAGCCGGTCAGAATGAACCTGATCGTCTTGCTTCGAGTGCTTCACTGCGTGTTGTTTTTGTTGGACGTGCCGGGTTTTTCAGGCGATCAACAGCTTCTGGGGAGGTGGAAGGGTGATCAGGTCCTTGTTTGGATGCGGGTTCTCATTTTCATGTTTTCCCACATTGGCATGTCCCAGACTCTCAACTACATACTACGTATTGAAGAACTGTAAGTGATAGCTTCAGGCTTTCAAAGTCCTTCGGTTGTTTTGACTGTTAGATTTTGAGGTGAAGGTGTGTCAGTTTTGCCACTCCTCGTCATGTTAATGTAGACTCTTGATCCCAAAAACAAAAAAACTCCATATCATGAGGTCTCCCCAGAGTCTACGTTAGGACTTTTGCTGTGGATACAGGTGGCCTGTTCTACTTGCAGTTACTGAGCTGTTCTGAACAAAGGCATTGTCGATTGAGAACGGGTGGCACCTACCACCCTTTCTGAAAGAGCCATGACGGTTGTTCTTCAACGTTTGTGGCTGCGGGGGTTGTCTGACTACCTGTACCAGTCGGCGTAAAAGGTTCTAACTATGTTTGAGAAAGATCTTTACTAATTACTAAGCATCGTCGTCCACTGTTACAGGGAATGGGAGGGTATTACCATGATATGCCCAAGCTCTAGGTTTAAAAGTAATGCTCCAAATCACCCCGCACCTCACTACCCAGGTACAGTCAGAGCACCCCTGGTTGAGGCAGCCCTCCTTTTTGAAGGAAAGTAGTCTTCGAGGGGGCCATTGTCCAATTGCATGTTAGTGAGTCAGAGTGTAGACTGTAGATTTGTTTTTGCATCTCGGCCACAGTTCCATGCGTTCCATGTCCTTTAGGGAGCGATTCATGTTCACAAATATCTTACATGGCGACCGCTCAAAAAGAAGGCGCCATCCAAACTAGGTCAAGTTTCAGCCTGCTGGCTGGTTTCATCGATGAATGGGCAGAAATCCTACGCAATTGGAAGGTCCAGGTATGGGCTAAAGAACCTGTCAGTCCTTGATTCGTGTCAAAGCCGCATTGCTCCACACATCATCTTCAGCTGAATCCTGGTGACCCCCGACCCGGTTTCACGAACAGCACGACCATGGCAGGAGTTGGAAGAAGGCCGTGGCTGGGCATGTTGGGACGTCGGGAGGTGGCAGCAGAAAGGGAAAAGATAAGCAAGATGAAACCAGCCCATGTACCACACCAGAGTAGCAGATCAATGCATACACCACGCAGTCAAGAACCGTGGCAAACGAGGAATTACCAAGTTACAGTTCGTCAAAACCAAGGTAGTCCAGGAGCACCGGAACTCGTCGCGGGGACCTCGTCCTTTTTTTCAGACGATTCACCGTTGGTGGGCCGGGTCGGTTCGGTGGATATATGTCGCCTTCGGTGGAAGTCACCTCAATTGAGACCCGCCAAAAAGGTGTTGCAGGATGCTGCAGGGCTGCACAAGAACATGGCCCGTGTAAGGGCCATGTAACCCCTTGATGACGATGTCTCCCCATGGTTTCAATCGCAGTCCTTCCGACGCATTCTGCGCAGAAACTAAGGCATGGGAGATGGTCAAAGCGTCCGCTACGGGGAGAGCACACAGCTCTTGAAGAGACCCTTGGATCCCCAAAAGGACCGGGAAACCACGGCTGATTCGATCACCGCAGATTCACGTATTGAACTAGGAGGACTTGTCTAGTGGCTATTGCAGGATTGCCCGCCAAAAGCCAAAAGACATGTAAATCCAAGCATCCAAAGATTTCTGGAGTACTTCGGTCTCAAAACGTCCTATATAAGTAGTTTGGACAGCTTGACTTTGGTTGATTATATATAGCATGCATAATAAATGATATGTCCTGCTTCCTGGGCATGTTGCACAACAATGTGTCTCTCAAAACGATTGATTGTAAGTCTTGTTTTTTTCCCGCATACCCGGGCAAAGTGGATAACCTGTAGCCTGTATGGGGAGTGCTTTCCCCCCTAAACAAGAACAAGTTTTGCAGGAAACTGAAGGAGTCAGTCAGGTTTTGAAGATGTGCTTCCCGGAAATCGTTGCATTATGTTGAATTAAATGCATGCTGAAGTTACATTATATGGCTCCCCCTCCTCATGCAGATTCCCAGGTTGTTTTGGAACTGTCTTCTTCCCACATACATTTTTTGACTATACATATGGCACCCCCATCTTTCAAAAACGTAGCTGCAACATCCGATCATCACAGGAGCAAAAAGGAGATGGGGGCACCATCTACAGTACATATGGTTGATTGGGGATCCCAAATGACCCCGACAGCTGAGTTTCGTACCATCTACTCTGAAACTTCTTTCTGTGGCTTAAACAGGGTGTTGGAAGAAAGCTCTTCAACCTTCTTGGATTGCTTGCCCTCTGAGCGATCTCAGGGTTCGCAGACTTCTGCCGACCAAAACACCGGTCACACCAAGATCAGACCGTCCATGGGACTTACTAGAAGATTGACCGTCCATGGGACCCTCAACAAATCATTTGAACAAATCGCCCCACTTGATCAGCAAATAAGCCATATATGGATTGGTTGATCTATTATGATCTATTCATAACATTTCATATAAAATATCTAGTCTAGAGTTTTTATTACATGCATGGATACTTAGGACTTTGTTCCACCCCTCCATCCCACTTCTCGCTGTTTTTTTCCAGTTGGAGCCGCGCCAGTGGCGCCCCTGCGGCGTTCAGGAGCTTCACCTGCGGCGCTTGGCAGAGGATCCCATCATCACGGCCGCCGCCGAGTTGGCACGGCAACGGCATGGCGAAGGATCGGACCATGGCATCGCCTGGGAGGCGATCGGAGCTGATGGCTGGGGTGTCAAAGACTACCTTCCGTTAAACGTGTCTAGAAGTAGCCCCAAATAGAGGTGATGGCTGGGGTGTCCAAAAACCACTGGATTTGGAAGGTCCTGGTAGTGACTTTCATGTTCTGAGCAAGGCATTTCTTCTTGCATTTTCTTGCGTTGTTCGGACTATTGAGTGACAAGGGGCTGGAATATTGCGACAGGGCGTGAGAACCATTGTGAGCCGTTTTTCAAGTTTGCCTTCCTTCAAGTGTGCGACAGGGCCTGCAAACCGGGGGTGATGAGACACAGCATTGCTGTAACAGGGGGGTCTCGTCTCGGCCTGGGAATGAGGCAGGCTAGTCACATCCCAGTCTTCGTTGCAGGTGCGACTGTTGATCCTCTCTTCTGGCATGCCAGAAGGCCTGGAGAATCCTGAGGGAAGGGAATTGAAGGGAATGGACCCGGAATGGAGCTGAATTGAAAGGCAGTTGATGTTGCAGAGCACTTCTACAAGTCTGTCCATTCCGCCAAACCTAAGAAGTTAAGGTATCATCATATCATGTATCATCCAGGTGTCGATGAATCGCCCCTCCTGCAGGTCAGAAAAAGTCTAGAAAGTCTAGAAGGCGGTTCTCGGATGATGCACTGGTGAAGTCCGCCCAAGTCAGCCAGAAACAGTGTTACGCCGATCCAGAATTGAACCTTCCACGAAGAAATGTGAAGAAGTCATGCTGATCGAGTCAACGCCAAGGAGGCAAGAGGGCAGTGAAGTCGTAAGACTATACCAGGACTCGACGTTACAGGTCACCAATTGACACCTGGTCTTGGGCCCAACAACCCTCAACTAAAGACCCGGCAGTGAGGATGTGTGTAGTGGATTTCATGGTCGAAATCCAGGGCTCATCTGTCTATCCGCTTCCATGATTGTTCCAGGGTACACTCTGACTCACTAACATGGAAGTGGATGGCATGGCCCCGTAAGGAAGACTACCTTCCTTTACGAACAGGGGGTTCTGCACTTTCATGTTAAGTCGGAGTGCAAAATCGTCTCCCATCTTCACACCTCTCATCGGGTAGTTCCACAGCGTGGGTCCGAGTCACTGCATCCTGCAGCAGTTGAACAGCAGCGTGGCGAGTGTTACCCATACACTCCATGGGACTGCCATGTATGCCGATCAGTCTCCATGGGACTGCCATGTATGCCGATCAGTTGGGGTGGTTTTGGGGGTCTGTAATGTAGGCATATATCTGGCATACATGGAGATGGAGTGTCTGGCTATGAGTCCTTGCAAGTCGCTACGACATGTACCGAAGTGTCCAAGTCGGGGCTCTTCACAGAGGTTTCCAGAGAGAAAAAGCATGATAAACACATGGCACGCCGGCACGTGCAGAGGTGATATGCATCGCGATGTGGTGGATACATCCAGCATTCCCTTGAAGAGACCCTTGCAGTGGCTTGAACTCGAGATGCACACTGGGCAGAGGAAAGGTCCGGTCAGTTTGGAACCTAAGGACCTCAGCCCTTTTCAAGAAATCAAGATCTGGTTGTGGTCCCCACCCTGCAGCTGATGTGCTCATGTTGGAGTTTGAAGAACCACTGGAGATGGCTGCAGCTTTATTTACCGGCTGTACCACCCGGATCCACCCGGGGATAACAGACCATCAGAGGCCAATGCAGTTGAAATGTGTTGAGGTTTATATAGATGTTATGATTAAGCAAGAAACATACCAGGGCCTTCACGGGGTGGTTATATAGTGGACACCCCGAATCACGGCTAAGGGGCTATAAATGGACACCCCGAATCACGGCTAAGGGTCCTGGTAGGAAGCAAACCGTACAGTACATGGAACCACTCAGAGAGTTCTAGGGCTCCAATTTGTTTGGAGTGCATGCCAGGAGGGTCTATTTGAGTCGATCCTCCCTACCTTCAGAGGAGTGTGTGGTCCATTTGGGGTTGTGTAGGCACGCTTCAAACTACTACTGCTACTACTACTTCTACGATGACGGCGACAGCTACGAAATATATCTAAATATACTATTAAATAATAGTACGTACTGTTGTAGTTTACTGCTACTGCAGCTGCTACAATCACTTCCCATCATTCCTTCCAGAGGTGGGGCCTCAACACGATTTGGGCAGTGGACGACTTCACAGCGGAGAACGGCGCCACGCGCTTCGTGACCTGGTGGGATGCCACGTCGGGATCATGTCGAAATCTCACCAGGTCGCAAGCGAAGTTTCTTTGTTTGCTTGTTGTGTTTTTTTGCTGCTTTGTCATTTGCTTTATTTTGTGTTGTTTTTTCATGTGTGTGTGTTTCCTAATTAGTTTGTTTTCGCAAAACATGTTTTAGGTTTGGTCAAGTATAGCTGACACTGGTGGACACGAGAGTAGGATATGTTCATATCATTTCATATCATATATCAATCAACCATTGAAATACTTTGTGATGTGTCACTTTCCAGCTCAAGCGACATCTATAAGTCCTTTGGCACGCAGTACGCCACAACAATGCAGGCATCTTCCAAACAGGTCTCCAAAATGGAGGCTTTTGCAGGCTTCAAGTGGGCACCTGCTGGAGGATCCTGGTATGTCCTGGTTCTTTTCGCAATGCCAAACAGATTCTTGAACCTATCCCAGCACCTCCAACAGGTCACCAATTGAAACCTGTTAGGGCCTAACAACCCTCCATTTCGGAGACCTGTTGGAAGGTGCTGGTCCAAGCTTCGCTGTCACTTCGAAAGAACCTCGGTTCGCTGCCATTGTGCCTCGGCTCAGGTGCCGGGCAGCCACTCCTCTTCGGCGGCCCAGGGCTTTTGGCTGGGCGGCCTTCCTGAGGCCACGGCACATGCCAAGGCGGCCACGATGGCTGCGGGCTCGGTGGGGAAGCCCCGAAGCATGCGGCATGGGGAACGGGGCGGTCTGACACGAGCGGTCTGAAGGACGGTCAGACATGACAGAAACGTGGTCCCGAGAACCCAGGACCCCTTCCCACGAAGGGGTGTCTACAGTGTACAGGGGCGACCGAGTCTGACCAAGTCCTGGGTGTGGGTTTGGTTGATCTAAGAAGCGTTTGCTTGCGGTCGTCGAAGGATTCGATTCGACCACCCCCCCACAGTGGTGGTGACGCCGAGTCACCACGAAACACGGCCGTTGGAGGCCGTTGCGACGTTTGGCACGCGCTCTGACTCTCAGGTCGTGATATATTATGCCAGCACCTTGCATGGCAGCGGCGAGAACCGCTCGCCACAGCGTCGTGCAGGCCGCACAAAACGGGGCTGAGTGAAGATGGTCTCCAGAGCAACTGGTGAGTGAGTGTTTGAAAGGTGTTTGAGTGAGTTCCAGAAGGTGTTCCTTTTCGCATCGTGGTGTTGGTCCGAAGTTGAAGCCTTGGTGCTTGGTGCACAGACCTTGGTACTACGGACGACTGATGACTTCGGCTTCTTCAGGTGTCACAGTTCGGTGCGAAGGTGAAACGAAGTGCACTTGGGGGTTCTTGCGCCCAGTAAGTGATCTATGGATATGTTGATACATATGGTGGTTGGCAGGATATGTGTTTTTCATCAAGAGTATATAATCAAGTCAAGTCCAGTTGAGCATATATCACGCCAATGAAGCATTTCGCAGAACTGTGACCCAAAGTCCCCTAAGGGCAAATTCTGGTCAACCCTGAAATGTATCTCCACGAAGGATTTGATCCAAGAGTCTTTATGGGTGTACCTCATTTGATGTGATGAGTTAAAGCTGGCTGATCAAACAGCTTATTTCAGCTTGTTGCATATGTCACATGTCTATTAAACCGCGTAATTATACTTGACGAGTTTTCTCTAATGAAGGATCCACATTCCTCATAAAGCTCTCTCGAACCATTTCGTGTTGGCGACGACCATACTCCAACGGTGAAGGCCTTAACTTCAACTACGCCTTCGTGGATGAACTGGGCCAACGTCGGCCGACCCGCAGTTGCCGCTTCATGCGGTTTTCGCGCTTTCGTGTCAATGACATGTCAATCAAAGTAACTGGATAGCTGGATAGAGATATTGGACAGATAATGGATTAGATTTGAGAAAGATAGACAGATAAATAGACAGAAAGAAAGAGAGATGGAGAATGATACTGTAGAGAGATGAGATATATATATATATATATAGAGATAGATTAAAATATGTACGCATGGAAATTGCTCGGCTGTCATCCCACCAAATACAAACTGTGGGGGGAGGGAGGGAGGGAGGGAGCGAGCGAGCGAGGGAGGGAGGGAGGGAGGGAGAGAGAGAGAGATAGAGAGCCATGAACAACAGCCCTAGGGATGATCACTCATCAGTTTGCTAAGCATGCCTCCAGAACGGCCTACATACAACCACCTGGAAATCCAGTCCAAACCAGAAACAGTTCTGTTTGTTCCAATATTTTCCAATATGGTTTCCTTGCGATCCTGTACATAACTCAGTGCTTGGGACTGGGGCGTTCCATCCCCACTTGTTGGCTTTCCAGGCTCCCAGATCCGATTGGTAGTCAGTCACTTTGAGCTCACTGGATACTGGATGATACACACACACCACTCAAGGAAGCTTGAAAAGGACCAGGTTTGGAGCTGGGTCACACAGGGACCCGCGTAGCGGGTGGGAGGCGACCTTCCGACCCGCTTCGCACGCGACGCGACTCGCGGCCGCGGCGACCGATGTCCATGGTTTCTGCCAGGGCCATTGGGCTGGGGCTATTGAGATCGAGACTTACTTAGATGCGCAGAAAAGTCGAAAGGTCACTGGCGCTCAGGGTTTTGAAGACCAAGGGGTGGGAGGAGCCCAAGACTTTCCCAATCTTTTCCCTGGAGGCAGCTAGTGTGAAACGCTGTAAAACCACTCAACACCAGTGCATTGGGGGCATTCTTTTCAGACGTTGGGCATTTGCACACCATGCTTTCTTCAATCGCAGTGTTGCGCCCCTGTGAGCAGAAGTTGTTCATAGTTTTTTGAGCTGCGCCGCCGGTGCAGATGGATGAAGGCGAAGGATGGTGCGGACGGAGAAGGGGAGCAAGAAGCAAACACTGGATTCAGTAAACAAGAGTGAACATATAAGTTACTCGAGGGTGGGTTTTGCACCCAATGCCCCAACCACCAAAAGCAAAAGAAAAACAGAACCGCAAGAGAAGAAGTTGGATCTGTTGTAGGAGAACGCTTGGCCTCTTGGCCGAAAGGACGCCGCACTGGACGCCGCTTTCTGCAAAGCAGTTGGTAATTTTCATCAAAGAAGAGAGGCGCATTGATCTGGAAAAACACATCAAAGAATACACCAACTGTGCTGGCACTATAGTAACTATATAGTCTATATACTTCTCTATATAAACTAGCCTATATATAGTTTTATGCAACCTCCCATCCGATACTCCCATTTTTGTTCATGCTCGTGCAACAGAAACAAACCCCATACAAATCAGCACTGGTTCCTATATGTTTGTATACACGTATAAAGTATAGACCTTACTTTAATTTGTAGTGAAATAGTGTGAGAACATGGCCCAGACTTGAGATGCTTGGCCCAGCCACTGGAATATCCCGTTTTCAGACGCACGCATCAAAGAAGAGTCATTTCGAAAGGTAAGAAGGCATCAATCTCTTCAGACGCTGCTTTAAACCAGAAAAAGACACGAACACACACAACACATCTTTGTCACCACCCGTCTTGGAGAGTCGATGGATACATCTGTTTTGTCACAGTACAGAGATGTCGCCATTTTCGCCATATGGATCACTCCGAATCCTGAAATGCTGCCAAGGCAGGGGCCAGGGATAGGACGTGAGTCGCGCCAGTCAACGCCATGCATGTATATATGCAATATAAGCTTCGGCTTGAGCTCAAGGATCCTGCAGGACCTTGCGCTACAAAGCCCAGACACGATCAATCAGGGGAGTGATCGAAAGACTCAGCTTGGAAAGACTGAGTCCCCACCAGCTCAGGGATGGCGTTTTTCAGGTGTTTTGTGCCACCTGAAGGCACCTTGTGAGTTCCAGGTATGTCAACGCGTGTGCTCTGTTGTGGGCGGTGGGAGCACAAAGAAATCATCCTGGTTTTGTGGATCGGGTGTTTGTTTAAGCTTCTTTAAGTTCCCTGTGGGCGAATCTGGGACAGTTTCCATGTTTCCCAGTTTTTGAAGCAACTCCAAGTCATTGGCATTACTAGTAGCAAGAACGCTTCCAGGGGCGCTCCTAGCATTACCACTAGGAACAAGGGATGCTACTAGGAACAAGGGCATCGCTACGAACGTAGCAAGAACGATTGGAATTGAAGCCAACTGCCCCACAGTCCCCACCACATTTGCCCACGCCTGTTGCTTTGCGCCCGCTTTTGGCCCGACTCGAGCAGTGATATTTTACGGTTATGGAATGGTTTTTTGACTCATGGAGGCAAAGGGGTTACCAAGTCCATTGGAAGGTTTGACAGAACATGACAGAACTTATAGTTGGTTGGTTACTGATTACCAGCAATTGCAGATGTGACAGCACGTGGCTTGAAACAAGTGTGAACCATACAAGGCAGTTGATGGACAAGATGCTTCTTGAGATGTTTGAAGACTTGCCATCATTCTGGGAGAATCTCTACGCTCCGAATCCCTAGCACGGAATGGCAGGGCTTTTGTTGGGTGTTTCCAGACCGTTTTTTCACTTCCAGTGGGCCAGGTTGTATCTAAGTGTACTGTGTCCAATCCATCATGCCTATCCCAAGTATGTTCTTCGCCTTTTGAGTGCTTCCACGGCAGCGCAAGCTTTGCTTGGCGGCCTCGGTGAGGGACGGTGCTGCGCACACTGCGCACTCGTTGCGCGCGGTCGTGGCGTCGTCCAGTGGTGATGCTTTCTGGAAGGCGTGCCGACGCGCGCTGCGAAGTCAATCACTGATTGCAAGATGTTGGAAGTCTTGGATTTTGGATGGATTTGGCTTATCGGGTGAGTTGTTTTAACCGGTGCACCCGGGAAAATTCACATGGAACCTGACAACCACTGGGTTGTAACGGGAAAATAAGTCTTCCAGTTTGGTCCATCACATCAGGTTCCATGTGGGTCTTTTTCCGGGTGTATATTTATATATATATAACTAACTATATATAATATTATACTAGTATATTTATTATTGTACGTATAATATAAATCTTAATTAGTGTATATAGTATTTATTTCATATTTTCCCTAATAGGTGAATCCCCTTCCGCGGAATATGTTGTCCCAGTTCCTCCAGCACATCTATCTAGGGATGGCATGGAAGGTCCCCCCTGATCTCAGCCCTGCCAGGCACCCATATGAGCCACCGCGTCGCGTCGTCTCAGTGGTTCGCCTCAGTGGAGAACACCTGGCGTCCGCCTGTGTGGAGGAAACCTTGGAGGCGGATGTTTTGGCGGGTTTGTCTTGGCGTCCGACTGGTGCGACGAACGTAGGGAATGAGGGTGGCTGGGTTGGATCCTAAGGAACCTGTAGTGGGGATCAGCCACCTTCATTCCCTGCGAGTCGCACCAGCCAGTTGCTTTTGAAGTTTTGAGGGTGTCGCCTTCGGGTTTTGCAGCCATGGATCTGAACGTTTCACAGGACCAAGGACGATTTGGCAAACTACTAAGGCTACATACTTATAAGTGTCAGGAACTTATGTTGAGATACGGGTCATGATTGCTACTAAAGACCCACGTCGTCATTTTTTGACGCTTAGCAGCTAAGCACCCACGTCGGCGCGCCGGCGTGCATGGCCTTTCATGGGTCGAGACACATTCGCCCAGCGAAGGGGGTTATGTATCGCCGTCCGTCAGAGCGGCAGGCCAGTGGCCGGCTGAGGGTGTCCAGAAATGGTGGGAGATGGATAAATAGAGAGAGAGAGGGGGAGCACTGCGAAAGCACAGAGAAACACCGGCTCAGCATTACTTGAAGCACCCCTTCACAACTCTTAAAAACTCATGGGCCCCCATGGGGCATTTGAGGCTTCACACGCACAGTCTACAGTTCGTACAGTTGATCCTGTCGACTTCCAAAACGTGGAGGAACTAATATGAGGAACTCTCGGTATCTCTCGGTATCTCTTGTGCCCTTCAACTCATTTGGGGCGGGGTCGATCATGGGCGATCATGGGCGTCGAAGCATGGAGTTGGTGCGTCGAAGCATGGAGTTGCTGTGTTGTCCATCGGTGGAGCGCTTTCAGCTTGCGAGGCCATCTTTGAAGAAGTGCGACGCGAGGAAGGCTCGCTTCGGGGCGACCTGGGGACCGATCCGGATGGTCAACATGTCACACATGGTCACACCCACCTGCTTGTATAGCAATTAGAGGAGCAGCACTTTCCACGGATGGTGTATTGGGGGGTCAGCTTGCAATGCAGCAGTGCCTGTCAGAATGTGGAGGCTTTGGGGACTTATACTTCTCTTTTAGTGTCTTCTCATGATGTGTGTTTGTGTATAAGTTAAGTTGTATGTGATGCAAAAAATAGGCGGGAGGTTTGGCTTTGCAACAAGTGAGGTTCTCTTTCGGACACAGGGAGAGCCTGGCTCTCCCCAAGTCCAACGACCGCTCGTCTTGCACCTCGGTCGTTGGACTCCTCACCCCCGTTGACCTTGGATACGGACCGCAGACTGTTGTTTAGTAAACTCTACTATGTTTTGAATGTATGTATGTAATTATATAGAATCTAGAATATATATAAAGAGGTTACAGATGGTTAACGTATGCAATCCAAATGGAGAGTTTTTTCATCCACCGTGATACATGATTCAATGTTGCGAAGTCAAGTCGTGACGGTTCGCCCGTTTTCCGGGCTTCATCCTCCAGCTTGACACAAACAAACCTGAAGCGAGTGAGCATGACCATTCAGGATCATACGTTTTCTTCCTTGTATATGTACAGTACAGTATACATCCCAGACACTCCATGTATAGCATATTTACCTACATTGACCCCTGAAACCACCCCAATGTATGTAAATATGCCATACATGGAGTGTCTGGGCATTATATATAACATGCATGACTAATTCAATACCCCCCAGTATCACTTGTGAAGGCAAGAGCCAGGAAGATAGAGACGACCGAGCCGCGCAGGCAGCGCTTTCATGCTGATCTCTGCTGATGGCAAGGTGGTGCTACCCTCCACACGAGCCTCCGAGCTTGGAGAGGAGATCATCACACTCACAGCACCTGATCTGCGAAGGAGAGGCGCCATGTTTTCTCAGTGGACGTACCGCACCTGATCTGTTAGGTGAACGGTGCTTAGGGGATGCTGGGGCCGCCTAGACACCTAGATGCACCAAGATGCACCCTGCGAACCTTCAGGTTGGCTTGTCGATATTGCATTCATCGCAGGGGTCAAAATGCGTTCTGGTCAAGAGTTCTCATTTTACATCACCTGGAAATGAAAGTGCATTTTTGGTCATCACTTGGAATGGCCAATTTTTCAGCCATGGGCCATTGGCGGTTAAAAATGAGTTCCCTCCTACATCTCCAAGACTCACGCGCCGCAGATCACTGATTGGGCTTAGTTCACCTGTGTTTCTTCAGTGTTTTTCATCAAAAAGGGGCATGCCAGTCATTTGGAAATAAATAAGTTGATCAGTCCCAAGAACAACCGTCGTGTCGTGTTAGGTCTAAATCCTTGTGGGCACAATTCGTGCCCGCACAAAGGTGTCGCACAAAGGTGTGGTGTACATTTATATTATTTGTTTTTTGATTGAGCTGCAAATTGCTATCCACCTGCACGAACTGCCCGCCAAATGAGTTGCAACAGCTTTTTTGAGTCGTTCTTGGAGCACACGCGTGTGTGACGGCAAGCTAGAAGATTAAGTGTATCCGATCCTTGGCCAGTGTTTTTCACACCAGTACATTTACCTTTCTTTTGGGCCGTGCGAAAAAACTAGACAAGAGTGAGATGAGATGCTGGTGAGCATACGAAGCAACCAATGGCAAACCGTGAGACGGTGATGAGGATGGCTAACTCTCAAATCAGTAGCGTGCAAAAGAAACACAACCAGCTCGCCCGGTGGTCATCCGGGATGTTTCTTGGGGCAAGACGGGTGATCAAACCAAACGGAAGGTACTGAAGTAGCCCCTCAAGCACTAGACAGTATGTGTTTTTACACCCTCATGAGTCTGAATTAGACCTGTCCAACACCCGTTTTGAAACCGGATTGGAGGTTCAATGGGGGCACCAGTGCCCAAAATAAGCCCGAGGGCCGTTTTGGCGAACAAAGGCGAATTGCATCTTATCATATTTTAGCCACTAGTCACGGTTAAACATGGTCCTTTCGGAATTTTGGAGATGCAGGTGTGGGTTTCCCAGAACAACTGCCTGCAGTGATCTAGGCCCCATTACTGACCCACAAAGTGCTGGTGTCGTCCTTTCCGAACTGACATACATCAGTGACAGCACACAGCTCCTAAGCTAGGCAGTTTCACCTAGAACACCCTATACAACTACATGACTACATACAGGGGCCTAAACAACTGTCAGGATCACAGATCTTTAAGGAAACATTGGGCTTTGTAAAGTGAGTGTTCGTTGTCACAGGGCCCAGGTTGGAGGGATGTGTCAGTTCCCATTGGCATCGGCAATTGGCAAAGCATCAGGGGGGGTCGAGATCATTGTCTCCAAGATGTTCCCGAGGGAACCTATGCCAACACAGTTTTTCTTTTTTGCAGTCATGCCTAGTCATGCCTACAAGATGGGACAACTTTGTGCTGTGCCTGAAAACTTTGCCAGGTGGTAACTCAAAGAGGTAACGCAAGAAAACTGCAAAACATGAGACATCCCTTCATAACGGGCTGGCAACATGTGGCCTTCATCAACACGTGACTCATCATCAACACCCCCCTTCCAGCACTTCGGTCGAGCAATGTGGTGCCAAAATCAGGTGAGCAGAATTCTATATGTTTCCTTTTCCTTTTTAGTAAGGGACGGGCAAGACATAATTGACACAATGATTTTTGGCTGATGTTTGTAAGGTTTGCCGTAAGGATGTGCAGCCGTGCGGTTTTGAACGGTGCCGCAAGGTTACCAGAAGTGGAACTTGTTTACTTTCATGACAGCTCGGCCCAAAGATATTGAACAACGTACCCCATGTAGCCACAGTGGACTTGCATACCTCGGCCGTATTCGCAACATAATAACCTTGCGTACATGTGTCGCTGTAAGCAAACACAGAAGAACGTAAGCCTTGCGCAAGGCCTACCGTATGATTGGAATGCTCGGAAAGAAAAGACAACACCATATTGAACACCGCTCAGGTGATTGCTCATGTTGTTCAGCATCTTGGCAGGGTAAACATCGTCAGATCATCGGAAAGCAGCTGCGCTGCTTCTTTTCCGCTTGATGGGTTTCGCTGCTCCCAACATGTACGGCAAGGGCGTTTTTTACTACGAAACCCGAACTGGACAATAGCAGCCGTTCATTTGAGAGGTCCAGACTGTTTTATGTTTTATTTGTGTAGACCGACTTCCGGAACGGAGACCCACAGCCAGTCCCACTCAGACGTCCAGCTGACCCAGTCCCACTCAGCCCCAGTCCCGACAGCCACGAAGCGACGGACCGGGACGACGCTACGCCGGCCGCGGGGCTTTGAGGCGAGTGAGCTCCACCCGCACCGCCTTCGCAGTGGTCACCGCTTCTGGCTCGGTGGTCGCTTGGGGAGACAGCGAGGCTCGGTCGAATGAAGGGATGCACCCGGTGGAAGCCCGCCCCAAAAGGGTATATGACAATGGATGTACCAGCACCGACGACCAACAGGTCACCAATTGAAACCTGAGACAGGGCCTTTCCCAACCCTCCATTTCGGAGACCTGTTGGAAGGTGCTGGTATAGGATTGTCTTGGTACATCCACCAAAAATCACACTGTTATGATGTAAAGGATTTCAATATATTTCAATCGTACGCACTGTCGACCATGAAGACCACGAACAATCGGTGCTTTGCCGAACTAGGAGAGGTTTGTGTTGGCCGAAGTTGGACCGACTCTTCCGACGCACAGATCCTTCAAGGGGCGGATTTGGATTGCACATAGGAGGAGTAGGAATAGTCGCGTACCCGCTCTACATGTGTGGGTTGGAGTTTGCTTCAGGTCTGGAGGATTCGGGGTCCATGTCCTTGAGCTAGCATGCTGGGCGACGCTCCGCTGACTGAGGATATGGGTGGCGACACTAAGAGTGTGCAGCCAGACTTGATGTCCAATGTCTCCCGTGGCTTGGGCACGAAGGGTCCGGGTCGCCTCAAGAGTTTTGGGCTGCAACATGTGAAGACACACACACACACAGGTTCCAGAGATAGAGAGAGAGAGAGATCTCCCAGCTATAGAGCGCTCTAAACCTTTCAGGTTCCAGTCGTAGATAGATCCTTTGGTCGTAGCGCTCAGACCGGTGGTCGTAGACGACTCGAAGAGGTCTGATGTCGTGAGCATACGAGAGCAATCGAGAGCAAACAGATGTCGTGAGCCTGTCAACGTGAGATGCGCAGACGTAAGCAAACAGAGACTTCAGATTATTGTTTGATATATAACGTTTTCATTATATGTTGCTTTTGCTGAGGGTAATGTTTTGAATCTTCCCTGTACGAATCCCTTTTTGGGCAACAGTAGCAGTAGCAGTAGTGGTAGTGGTAGTCGTAGTGGTAGTGGTAGTCGTAGTAGTAGTAGTAGTAGTTGTTGTTGTTGTTGGAATTTTGTTTTCGTCCCAGATTAGTATAATGTTTGTTTTCCTCCCAGATCCTCAACATACAGCACACACATCTATGTCTATGTCCAATTTGGCCACAGTTTTTCTTCCCACGCCACACGTTCGACTTTTTGTTCGCCCACTCGGCCCAGGTGTTTATTCCAATGCTTTCGCCTTCTGCGCGCTGAAGAACGACGGTTCGGTGATCACCTGGGGCTTGCCGACGGGCGGGGGGGATTCCCGCAGCGTAAGGCGCGGAGATGTGGGAGATGTGTTGTGATGCGGATTGGATGGAGGAGGATGTTTGAAGGTCTGCAGATGTCTTGAAAGTTTAAACATATTTCAATATAACATTGCAATCAGGATGATGAAAAGCTGTTGTTTGTCAGGTTTATGGAATTCTGCGGTATTTGCATGGGGGGTTTGGCAGAGGTACTGCCCCTTTTGAAAGAAAGATGGTCCTGGAGTCCTGGAGAGTCATTACTGTCGTCAGGTCAACACCTGTCGGTTGATTCACCTCCTTAACTCCGTGCAAACAAGGTCCACCAGGACCCTGACCGTGCGGACCGTGCCACACAAGGGCTCGTCATTGTGTTTTTGTTGCCTTCAGGACCTCCCTCCAAGGTGGGGTCAAAGAGATCTTCGCCACGCGCTTGGCATTTACAGCCCTCAAGGCCGGGAGGCTCTCTGAGGGGCTGACTTGATGTCGAACTCTTCGCCCCGCTTTGCTTCAAACACGCGGCTCACCCCGGAAAGTTTGTCAAAGTGTTGTAGATCGGAAGACGTGTAACGTGTTTGTCGTTGATATCGGACTTCGGCTTGCTGAAGCACAGACGGGCCTTGATGAGATTCTTCAGCCGACGCTTCCTCGAATTCACTGGGCACGGAATTCAATTGCTACTTCTATCACCCACATTTGGTTGCCCATGTGGAAAGGGAACAGTGCTGAAAAGCAGCGGTGACGCTCAGACGTGGGAGGAGGTCCTATTAGACCGCACCTACCATGACTATGCAGGGAACGTGCATCAGCAAGCCCAATACCACGTGCATCAGCAAGCCCAATACCCAATGATCATTCAATTGCCATACTGTATATGCATGTCCAATCATTTCCATCCCTAGGGCTCCAGTCGTACCTCCTCAGATGGTATGACTGGACCCGACGTTTTGGCACCCACCCCAGTCCCACCTTCTTAGAAAGTACGACTGGAGCCCTAGGGCATGTAAAAACCTTAGGGACTATTGGAGGATAGGGGTGCCCATTATCAACTCACTTAGGGACTGAAAAACCACCCCTTTGTGACCCCTGGTATAGAACGATTACGACCTACCAGGTCCGCCACGTCCTCGCCGCCGTCCAGGAGGACGGTTCCCTGGTCACCTGGGGCGCTAGCACCTATGGCGGCGACCTCCGCGACGCGGCACGTGGGGTCGTGAGCGTCATGGCCACGGTGCCTTGGAGGTCTGGTTTGAGGTGTTTTTGGAGTATCGAGTGATCAGCTTAAGGCTTTGGCCAAAATCTCAGGAAGGAGTCTTTCCATGTCTTCCCTCGCGGGAGGTAAGGTTTCATGACACATATGAAAACACCGTTCTCGTACAAAGGTGTAGCAGGTTGCTGTTGGACAGGAGGCTGGGCCCCTACCCCTACCTTGTTGCACCATGGGACCCGGACCCGGACACCGCCGCATGAAGCCTCAGATTGGCTGCCCGCGTCACCTCCAAAGCTGCCCCAACCATCAGACACTCCATGTATTATGATATATGATGTATTCAATGTATACCTACATCGGTGTGGATTTGTTGATCCCAGGTATATATTCCGCACATGGAGTGTTTGGGCATCCAAGTCAACCTCCCAATCCTCCCACACGGTCGCTCTGCTTCGCGCAGCTACTTTGCGCGGAGCTTTCTTTGTGCAACCGAAGCAGGTGGGAAGTCTTTGGAAGCTATAAGTTCAAGCTGTGACCCCCCATGGATCTATATATACACCCTCTATTTTTGAACGTGTCGTGTTCGACACTTTCATGTTGGCAAGTTGTGAGGGTCCACCAAGGACAGTGCATTCGCGGCTTTGAGAGAGGATGGGTCTGTGATCGCTTGGGGTGATGCAACAGCAGGCTGGAGAACAGCGGGCTACATGGGTGATGAGAAGCGTGGCTACACTCTGACTCACTAACATGGTTACGTGGATGGCGTGGCCCTTGGGAAGACTACTTTCTTCTAGAAACAGGGGGTGTCATCCACTTCCATATTGGTCAGAGTGTATGGAGAGTATGGGTTTTGCATCTCCTCTTTTCTGACTCTTCCCCAGTCAATCGGGTCAGACAATGTGTAACCCCTAGGGCCCGTTCCGGGCTCCAGTCGTACCTTCGTTTCGAAGATGGGACTGGGGTGGGTGCCAAGAGGGTCCAAATACCTTTCTGAGAAAGTACAACTGGAGCCCTACAGGGTAACGAACTGAACTCGGGGCCATCGTTCGTTCAGGGCCGAACTCGAGTCGGTCGACTTGCTCGTCACCACTGATGACCTACCACTGGACTCCCATTCGTATACCTTCGCGGGAACTGCCGGATCAGATCCACATGGGTTCCTCCACTTTCTTCGGCCCGTCCCTCCACACCGACGGCCTCCTCCACCGGGGTCGGCGACTGCGGCGCCGACCTGGCGCCGACCTCGCGCCAGCAGGTGGCGAGGTGGGAGGGTTGGATCTCTCGGAGGGCGTGCTGGAGCTCTTTGCGTGGCCTGGTTTTGCTGGTATACAGTATACAGTATAATGAACATGTTTTGATCTATTTTCCCCAACTGGGTAAATCGTAAAGGTCCTTCTGAGGAAGATGTTCTATGTCTTTCTGCGGTGCCTCGGTTCGCATTCCAAGGTGTAAATACGCCTTCGCGGCCCTCATCGACCAAGGTGGGGTTTCTGGGAGCGGAGCGGAGCGGAGCGGTGGAGTGGAGTTTTTTCTGTTGGAAGGGGTTGAATACAGAAGGACCGATGGGACTGGCATCTTTCACTGGTATAGTAAAATACATCTGACATCGAGTCCTGGAGTGAGTGGAGCTGGAAATTGGATGCCGGTTGGAGCAACGATGTTCGCTTTGAAGACCGTCTTCACCGAAGGACGAAGAGGGTCGGGGCTCCATCCAGCAGGTCACTTCAGAGCCCAGATCACTTCGGTACGACTGGACCCGACACCCGCGCCGGTCCCATAAGAAGTGTCGAACACCTCGACCGTATAGGAGGGTGGATCCGTGGATCCGGGGTGACTTGATCCCAGCAACCAGAAGAGCAGCATCTATGCCAGTCCGAAGTGCAAAACATGTTGTGTAATGCCTTCAGGTCCAAAGACCCAGTACAACCAGAAAAACCTGATCCTTTACCTCAATTGCGGAGTGTTTTTTTGCATGACCAACTCCAAAATGAGGTTGAACCGACCTATAGGGATGCACGAATGGCCCACCTGCAGGTTACTCGGTGGTGTGCTGGGGCAGTGCCATCTCGACCGGTGATGTGAAGCATCTTGGACTGGACTGAATGCAGCCAGAGAGACCAACGAAACCGAGGTGGAAGGACGGAGGTTTATATAATTTAGGATTTGGATGGATTTGGGATAGAGGTTCATCACCCCAAATGGTTGAAAACATGTCACATACGTTGTGTGTGTATATATTACCGATGGGACATCGCAGCAGAACCCATCCTGCCGAAGTGTTCCGAATGATCAAGGACAAGGGTTGTTCATTTTGTCAAGACAGATCCTCCGCTCCAGAAGAAAAGGTCAAAAAGCAAGATAATGCCTTCCAGATCTCCCACAAGTGTAGTCCGCAGGGAGTTCGCATGAGTCAGTTTTGCCTTATAGGATTTATGGGAACATCTTCAAAGTACTCCCAGCAACTGGTACACTCTGACGAACACATCACATGGAACTGGAACAGTTCCTTTACAAGCATTTTTTTTCTCCACTTCCATGTGATGTGTTCGTTGTGTGTAACCTCATTGGCATGGGTTTGGACATTATGGTCCCCGGATGCCTCATGAAGCATTCGCCCAAGCATTCACCCAAACCAGGTCTGCCAAACATCACGAAAGATCTAAGCAACAGTGTCCAAAAGCCACAAAATCCAGGTCTTCCCTGTTCTCTCCCGCACAAACATCAATAGAAAAAACATCCCACAAACCAAACAATTGTGTGTTGTTCTCCAATTTTTCCAGTTCCAGGTATTCCTTCACAGTCCCCCTTCAGCGCCTTTTCTGTACTTCCTCTGCTTGGGCCGCCTTGGACCAGCGCGGTCACGTTTGCTGTTGGGGGGACGCCGCGGCGGGGGGCGACGTGCCGCGCCCGGTGGCGGAGCAGCTCGCGGCGGCACCGGTGGTGGAGATCTTCGGGAATGAGGCGGGAAGCTGGTGAACCGCACCACGAGGGAGGTACGCATACGGGTATAGGAGTGGATCGAGTAGTGGATCCCTATATGGAATGTAATAAATTAATGTAAAATCCATAGATTGGTCATGGTAGATACGGAGGTTTCAGAGTAGATCATTATATCAGTTCCTAGACTTCATGACCATCAAAAATATGCTTAGCCTTGGGTGTTTGTAGTGTAAAAATCCTTAGTTGATTCGGGATTAGGCCTATAAAATTAGTTGAGGTTGGAAGCCTAGGGAGTTATGTTCCCTTCTGGAGAATATATTGGGTTTTTATTGCCTGTAACAGTCGTTAAACATTATTACTATGTTTCAACCAAGGATGAACAAGGCCATCATCATCCACTGTTACAGGTATTAGGATAGACCCAAAGAATACCGGGGGTCACAAAGGGGAGGTTTTTATATTAGTCCCTAAGTGAGTGGATAATGGGCACCCCTATCCTCCAAGTTCGGCACCCCTTTGTGACCCCCTGGTATGTGCTTTTTCTTTTCTTCAGGACTCCTGGACGATGCAGTCATCTCCGCGTCATTCTCCGCTGGCGCGCCGGCAGGTCGCCTTTGCAGCGTTGAGAGAAGATGGTGCCTTGATCACCTGGGGTGGTCACTATTTGGATGCCTGACTGCCGTGGAGTGTGGGGGCCGATGAGTCGCCTCAAGTCGATCTATTCCGCCGGGCTTTTTCAAGCCAAACAGGTCATGAACTGGTCAAATCCCGCATCGGGTGATGTGTTGTGATTTGGTGAATCCCCTGGCTGGTGGAAAGATGTTGGTTTTTGGTCCTGGGTTCCTGGAGAGCAAATCCCATAGGGGAAGCAATCGTTTTTGACACTTGGATTCCTTGAGCAGGTGTCCTTCCCACACCTTCCATTGAGGAGAAGCTGCAGGCACTTCGATCGATGGTCACATGTCATCCAAGGATTTGGATCTAACCTCAGGCCATGGGACCGGACAGGGCGTGGGGCTGGATGTGAGGAGGAGGTGTGGGGCTGGATGCTTGGTGTCTCTGAGAATTGAGCCTTCAGAAGGCCTTGAGGCGAATCGGATTGGCTGACCTTGGCTGTGACTTCTAGCTATGCAACCAATGCCAGTTGGGCTGATTTCACGCGTGGGCTTTCAGCTGGGGCAACACTTGGCAGCCAAGTCGGGTACCAAGATGATCCTCAGTTTTGGGAGAAGAATGCATGCTGCCTGGCGCACGCGACTTGTGGGCACATCAGATCCCAA